ATGTTTTACTCTGATAGAGGACATGAGACTCATTTTGCTCTTTCCCACACCTATCCCACTTAATGAATCTGAGTATTTTTTCCTATAATGGGAGATATCTCTAATTTCCAGGTTAATTTATATTATGGAGTTAGGATTCTTCAGAGATTTATTATAAGGAATTGGCTCACACAATTGTAGAGGCTAATAGGTCCTAAGATCTTCAATGGGCCAGCTAGAGACCCAGGAGAGCAGTGGTGTCGTTTTAGTTTGAGTCAGAAGACCTGAGCACCAGGAGAGCTCATGGTGTAAGTTTTGGTCTGAATGGCAGTAGGCTTGTGACCCAGGAAGAACTGATGTTTCAGTTCTAATCCAAAGGTAGGAGAAGACTAATGTTCCAGCTCAAGCAGTCAGACAGAAGGAATTGTCTCTTATGTGAGCAAAGTCAGCTTTATTGTTCTATTCTGGCCTTCAGCTAATTGGATGGGGGCCACCCACATTAGGGAAGGCCATCTTCTTTATTCAGTCTACTGATTCAAATGTTAATCTCATTCAAAAACACCCTTACAGATACATCCAAATAATATTTGACTAAATATCTGGGCATCCTATGGCCTTGTCAAGTTGATATATAAAATTAACCATCAAAAGGAAGAAAAATAGAAATGATGTACACAAGTGTTCCTCATCCCATTTAAGTGTTACCAAGTGAATAGTGTGTCTGTCCATGAGAAATGTCTGTCTTGGCTTAGAGACCTCAGTACTATCATTAAACAGTGGAAGAAACATATGTGGGATACAGACCATAATTTTTATGTGTATAATTTCTGTGTTTTTCCTCCTTAACCTAAATTAACCTGGAAATCTGAGAGACTTCTATTCTATGAAGAAACATTTTAGATTGATTGGTCTAAGACCAGAACGTGGCTGGTTAAGAGTTTATTTCTAGGAATACCTTTCCCTTAAATGTTTCAAATAGTTTAGACATAATGCCCAAAATAGAGGGCTAGGTAACTTGTACTTTTCAGGTTTTCATTCCTTTGTAGCTGGAAGGCTAACATCCTCAGGAATCTGGAGCCTTTATAGGAGCCCAGGGAGAGACAGTTCAGCTTTCCCTGATTGTCAAAGACAAAACAAAGCTTGCAATTTCAGATCTTGAACCCTTAGTGTGAACTTGGCCTTTATGTTTGTATTAAATGGCCTACCCTGTGAATTCCATGAAGAGCCAAACAGACTGTTTTCTTATGTTGAAGGTCTTTTTGTCTTTATTTTGTCCACTATAATTGTCCTATCTATCTATACACACACACACACATAGAGAGAGAGACTACACGTCTGTAAATTTTTCCCCTCTTATTTGTTATACTTTGAAACAAGAGGGAAGAAAAGTATTTGGTTAGCATATAATTAGGAAAGATTTCTTAAAGACTGGTAGACTTGAAGATTGAGAGGTTAGATAAGCCAGTGCCTTGGCTTATTGCCTCTTAGGTAGTTTCAGACAGGTTAGTCAAACCCATTTTCTTACAGGTTATTTCTCGCTGGACAGAACTGGAGAGTTGGGTCGGAAGGGCAGAGCTGTGGACATTTATCTGCAATATCTTTAAAGTTTCAGAGTTAATGAGTTGGGAGCTGGGAGAAGAAATATTCCTGGTATTAAAAACTAATTCTCCCTCAGAGTGCCTATTGCTAGTTCTCTGAGAAAAGCTGAGAAACATAACATTTTGTTGCTGTTGCTATAGCTCCTTAACTTACAGCAATGTTTTAATGTGTAAGAAAAAGTAATTAGGCAGAAGATGTAGAAATAGGTAAATGGCCTTGTAGTTCCTTATAAATTTGCTGCATTACATTTGAGCAAGTGCTTCTTAGATGGTTTTCTTTGAGCAATACTCTGTTCTTTATTAATTAATAATTACTAATTATTAAGCAGTAATTCTCAAGTTGAAAAGAAGATATTGGGGGAAGAACTTGTTTTTTCCCTCAGCTAGACTCACTTTGATTAAATAGTTAGGGAAAAAATCCTTGTTTATGTTTTTATATTACACATTTAAATATATATGTATATACACATCTACATATAGATGTTCATTTATTCACAGACATACATATGAAGTATATTCATATTTCATACTGGGGGTGGAAGGGATATGGAGGACACTGAGTTAAAGAGAGCAGGGGCAGAAGAGGGCAGGAGCCACACTGTCTGATTCTCTCATCGTACTTCCCTTTAGGCCCTATTTCCATAAATTCTCTCTTCTGGCACACTGTTGGCTCGGGCAGGTAGCTTGTGTGATCTGTAGTAAAGGGATTCACTGGAGGTAAAAAGCTAATTTCTGAGGGTTGAGAATAAATGACTTTGGGGAAAAGTGTGTTCATCATCCATTGTTTCCGTATTATAACCATTCATACTCTAATATAGTTACTACTGATTTCTAAAAAACTTCTTAGTAAATTTTTGATACCAAATTTAATCTCTTATGATCCTCTGCATGCCTCAGTTTCTTTCTCCTTGGTTTCCAGGTGCTGTTTCCTTAAGGATTATAAATTAAATATATCAATTTTAATACAGTTTTATCAGGAAGGAAGCATAGTCTGTGTCTGTTCTAAGTAACAACAACAGCAAAATAGTCTTTGGTACTTTGAAAGTGAGGGGCACTTCAGAGTTGGTTGCTAGAGCTAATGATCTAGGGAGGCCACTGACGGAAGACAGATTTTAGGAGCAGGAGCAAGGTTAGTATTCAAATAGATATTTGGGTATTAGGGAAAAACCTTTCTGGGTCTCTGTGGTGAAGAGATGGGAAGATAAATGTGTTGTTTGCAAAAATAATCTAGTGAAGATTTGGGAATTGAGCATGACTAGTAGGAGAGAATATTCTTATTGAGAGTTACCAAAATGAGTCTCATGTAAGTTCTGATGTAGGAAGTGGGAGGAAGGATTTGATGGGACAAACATATCACAAGTGGCTATTTTGTAGGAGGACATCCTAACTTAGAGCAATTTCACTGTCTTAGCACTTAGGCTGGGAGCCACAGTACTGGTTTAAAATAAGTGGTTTAAAGTAATAGTACAAGCATACATCTGGAGATACTTTCCAGAATCAAAGTAGAGCCTTTGTCTGCTCCAGGAGACATTGTGAAGTTTTGATCTCGCAAACCTGTCCCATGGAGGTGGGATTGTAGGCATTTAACTCCTAAGATTTTAGACATACGAACTTTGTTTTGCTGCCACATCGTACTTGATATCCACACATGTAGAGTCTGTGTGTTACTTTTCCTCTTTGAACTAGGACATTTAGGTTTATGAATCATGGCATGTAAGCGTGTGTGATTCTTTACCTTTTCTAATAAATACTATTTTTAAGGTCCCCAAATTATTAGATTCCTTCCTAACAGGATGATAGTTGAATTTTTAGATGAATGAATACATTTTAAAAAGCTGCTATGATTTCAATAATCCTTTTAAGTCAATTTGTCTTAGTCACACCAGAATCTATATCCAGCTGAAATGTAGGATATACATACTTTTAAGATATATATTATTTAAATATTGAGACTGAAAATTTGGGGTATACAGCTCTCTTGTGATAACTTCATGGTCAGTCACTCATATAGCTTGGGGTTAAGATGTATGTCCAGAAAACTACCTATTCACACATGGAAATTTGTAGACTTACTTGAAATCTATTGTATCAAGACATTTTGAAAGTAAAGATACAAATATTTCAATTTTCTGTTGTTTAACTGAGTCTTGAGATAAGCAGAATAAATAGTATGAATTCTTTTAAAAGCAAGACATTTGACTTACGGTTGCTTTGTTTATTCTGCTTAGTTCAAGAAATGCACTTGAATGTCTTGATAAATTTAGGCAGTGATCATGTGTCATGGATTTTTATATGTGACCTCTACTTAAGAGTATAGTACAATGGATGAACCCTTTCTTATAGTTGGACATGTCTTCTTTGCGGACTTCCAGTGATTATGTAATGCTGAGTAGTTTCAAAAGATTCTTTAAATAGTAAAAAGGAAAAGACATCTCTTCCCATGTGAGCTTAGTATTTAGTTAGAAACACAAAATTAATATACATACAACAGGTAGAGAAAGATTAAAGTATTTGTGATGTAATGGAGAAAGCTTTGGTGACTTTGGGGCCAGAATTCAAATGGCTCTGACATCTAGATCCAGACTCTTATTTGATCCTTGGAACAGCCTTGTGGAAACAGAAGATCGAGTAAGCAGTATGCAGAGCAGTAAACAAATAGCATCTCAAAACTTCATTTGCTCAAGGATACACAGCTGGGACATTGCAGAACCAGAATTGAAAACCAGAAAGTTTTACTCCATAAGACACACAGTCTAAAATCCTTAATTTGAGGTGCAAGACCATCTAAGGGTCTTATTCATCTATCTCAGCCTTAACCTCTTTCTGTTCCCAGAAACCTTAGCTCCCACACCCACATTTGGCAGGTCCTTGCCAAGGATCTCAGGTGAGGTGTCCCTTTTCTTTTGATGGCTTGCCATGTAGCTCCAACTACATTGTTTGTTCTTACCTTTTCATTCATGTAGTTCCTCCTATGAGAAATATCCTGCCTCTTCCTCACTGCTTAACTCTGACAAGAGGTCATCTGTCCAAAGACAAGAGGGTTCATGAATTTAGAAGAAGAGAAAAGCTTACAAAACCTACTATGGGCATTAGTTAAAAAGAAATGACCAAAGAGGTTGACAAGTACTTAGTTGGAGGTGCACAGTTGCAATCTGTGGTGCACTTGGACAGCACAGACCTTTCTCTTCATCAGTGCTGTGTGGATGCTGTTGCCTTTATGATCTGTCTTTGTTTTCTCATTTTCATGCCAAGTCAGTCACTGGGTTTGGCTCTCTTACTTTCCTACCTATCTTAGCTTGTTTCTTTTCTTTTTCCTTTGCAGTGTTAAATAAAAATTTCTTCCAAAAAAATCGTCGTTCTCATTCTGTTTGACTTGTTTTTTTTTACTGTGTTGAGGGTGAGGGAGGAAAAGTTGTTCTGGGCTACAGAAATGCACATACTTATCCAATATTTGAAAACTGCACACCAGCCACTTTTGTGAAAAGCTATTTTTATTTATTGCTGCAGAGGAGGGAAGCGGGCAGTGAAGAGGGAAGGTCAAGCAGTGCACTGTTAGGCCTTAGCTTGTATTTCCTCAGATTCTTTAAAGTTTCTTTTGGCACAAGGCTTACAAAGCTGTGGAAAGAAAAAGAAAAGTTTGTATTACTGCTTCAGAATTTAGAATAGCAACAGAATGTCTGATATGATAAAGTCTGACCTGTGCTGGGATGTATGTTTGGCACTCATTATTATAGAGGGAACGGAAAAGGACTTTATATGTAGTGTATCTTATTGTCAAATTAAGAGTTATAACCTGGAGCCAATCTAATTGATCCTGGTGCAAGTGGGGAGGGAGCCAGCTTTTGATCTCTCCTTGCTGAGAAGTGGGACAATCAAAGAAAACTAAACGCTTCTCAAAGAGTTTAAGGTAGGTTTTCCAAATATGGTGCTGAATTGTTGGCACAGGGATAGGACAGGATTTTCATTGAAATAAGTTTCATGAGTTGATGGAGGCACAGAGATCCAGGAAACTCCCTCATCCTTTCCTCATGTGTAAGTGTGATAACTTGATTTATGTGAATCTTTCTGGACCTGAGGAAACATGTATACTTTTTATTCTACTGGACACTACCTCTTTCATAATTCTTCAAACCCTTGGTGGGTGGGAGGAAGATGAAAGAAAGCTCTTAGGTAGTATGTTATTTGTTTAAGTGAATATCTACTTTTGATTTTTTTCTTTTGTTAACCAAGCCACTTGAATATAGAAGAAAACAAATAATTGGATTCAAAAGTTCAAAATTTATTTTGCAGATAGCAGTAGCCTAAACAAAGGAATTTAGATCAATAAATTAAATCTAAAGGGTAAGACTGCTTGATACTCATTTCTTCCTGAAAATACACAGGCTACTACCATTTGGCAGGTTCTTGCCAAGGATCACAGATGAGATCTATGTTTTCTTTGAATAGGGAGGGTTGGTGGGTTCTGTTTCTGGAAATGGGAGGTGTCAGTCTCAGAATGGGGAGGGTCATGAAGGAGGTAAGAGAGAGGTGCTTTTCATATAGTAGGTCATTACTGAGAGTATAAGGTTTTACAGTAAGAAGGACCTGTATTACTTTCTGTGAAGGGCACCATCTGACCCATCATACAAATTCTTTGACAAACTTGTCAAGAAGTCTATGTGTCTGTTACTGTCTTTTTGCTGGGATAAACAAGACAATCCCTGCATGTGTAGAGCCTGTACTCTAGTGGCATTCAAACAGTAGTAGTTATTAATTTGAGGAAAGCCTAAATAAAAATGGGATTAAGAATGCTAAGGACAGGCCAAAGCTTAAATCAGTTGCTTTGCTGTGCAAAGCATAATGGCAAATTAATGGAAGCTCCACTCTGTATTATCTAACAGGGAAAACCCTGATTCATATTGATAATGGTGCTCAGAGGACTTAGCTATTCAATCTGGCCTTTGCTGAGAAACTGCACTGTGCAGAGCCACTCTCTAGAGCAAGTCTGTCTTTTGCCTTGTTCATATAGTAGCCGAAGATCTGTTGCCTTAATTCGTAGCCCTCTGTTCTGCAACGAGTAGAGGAGGTTCTGTTAACTTGTCTCTCCCACATGACTTCTTTTTTAGAGACAAAGTCTCACCCTACCCTCGGTAGGGTGCTGGGGCGTCACAGCTCACAGCAACCTCTAGCTCTTGGGCTTAGATGATTCTCTTGCCTCAGCCTCCGGATTAGCTGGGACTACAGGTGCCCACCACAATGCACAGCTATATTTTGTTGCAGTTTTGGCTGGGGCTTGGTTTGAACCCGCCACTGTGGGTATATGGGGCCAGCATCCAACTCACTGAGCCACAGGCGCCGCCTGCATATGGCTTCTTTTCTCACAGGTCGTAACTCCTACCCAGTGGAAAATGATTCATCTGTCTTCCTCTAGATCAGGTTGCAACCCACAGGAACTGTATTAAAGGGCCACGGCATTAGGAAGGTTGAGAACACTGCTCTAGATACATGAGGTCTTCAGTACCTTTGGACCTGTTTCACTCTAATATTAGTTTGAATTTTCTTGTGGATAGTCAGGGTTTGAGCATTTTTCTCTCCCTTTGAGCTTCTCGTCCAACCTTTTCCTTAGAAAATAAGGAGGTATAAATAGCACCCTCATTGCTTGGGGTGCTTAAGCATCTTTTGGACATACCATGAAGAGCCACCAGACTGGTGACCAGCATCACCCAGACCTTTGCATGTAGGAAGCCTGAACTCACAATGCCTTCATTATGGCTCAACTTGGAGTGTTGTCTTTGTTTCAGTCTTGTCACTGTGTAGTTCCCTGACTCTGCATCAAAAGAGAATCATGGATCAGGGGAGGGTTTCAGAAATCATTAATTCCTCCTTTTGCATCATCCCAGAGCACCTGTTACATGGTCTTGAAGGATACCTCCCAGCACAATTCATTACCCAAATAAGTATTTTTAACATTTGCTGGTGGTGATAATGATGATGTACATGTCTTACCTGTCTGGTCTAAATAATTTCACCTTCCAAAGGAACCTAATTTTCACATTTTGGGACTATCTATATGTCCTGGCTTTAATACTTTAAAAGTTGCTAAGATGAGAAAGCCATTCTTTCCTAGACCCTTCACAAGTAAAAACGCACGGGATATATTTAAAGAACACAAATACTAGGTTGTGAGGAGCAAGGATCTTATTGTATGTCATTCTGGTCTATAAGGCCTGGCTCTGTGACTGGAGTGCCCAATAAATACTTGTTAGATGAATGAAAGAGGAGTAGCCACTAGTGCAGTTTAACTAAAATAGATTATTCATATAAAGAGTAGGAGTTCAGGGCAGCACGGGTGGCTCAGTGGGTAGGGCATCAGCCCCATATACTGAGGGTGGCGGGTTCAAACCTGGCCCCGGACAAACTGCAACAAAAAATAGCCAGGCATTGTGGCGGGTACCTGTAGTCC